TACAAATTGTATGTGTGTCCCTGCATATTTTAAATGTTTGATTGTTTCACATTAAGGAACAAGTGCTTACTGTAGAATACTGGAACACTTGCCATTTTGGTTTTAATTTTTTGCTATTATTATGAATCTCACACAGATTTTCCTTGGGATATTTTTCATACCTGCAATTATTGCTGGCCTAAAACTATGCAGACATGGCAGGCAGACAGCATCTATTTAAATCCTGAAGAGCACCAGCAGAGACAGAGCAGCCATCATCCCCCAGTTAATTAGGGATAAGACAAGGTGGAAGATCTAGTGCTGCCTCCTTCTCTTGCTGCCTGTCTGGTGGGCTTGCTCCAGTGCAGGCTGAGCTGCTGGTCCCTCACAGAGAATTAAATGCATGATGGATCTGCAGTGCCTGGCGCTCTGGCTGCACTAATGACAGCGTGGTCCCAGCGTGCTGGCACAGCCACGGCACAGCCCAGCTGCCTGGCAGAGGGGGGCCCTTTCCATTCCTGCAGACCTTGGCCTCCAAAATACGCCTTCTTGTAAGTAAAGGGAGAGTTGCTCTCAGCCAGAGGAACAGAAAATTAAGTGGTGTGCTTTGCAGTGCATGTGCATGTGCGTTCAAATGTCGTGAGAATCACCCACCGCTTTAAACTTAGTGTGGGGAAGAGTTAAGCAGATGACAGCAAGTGTTTGGACATGTAGCTGAGCTCCTGAATGGTGAGAATGCAGTCACTGGGAGGCCTGAGCTGATAATGGTTTGCTTCTGTGGATGTGTTGAAACTTCAGTGACTCTGAGGGAACCCCTGAAGGTGCAAGAGGATTTCGCTGTACACTCAGGTCAGAGGGTTGCAGAGGCTGCTGCTGCTGTGTGTAAGCCCCCAGCCTGGTCTGCCAGTGCTGCCTGGCCTTGGCTGTGCTCATCCCTGTTCTGATCAGGGAGGACAGCACACTGCTCTATAACTATACCTACACTGTATTGCTCTGATAGGGTACCTAAGTAGAATATGTGATGAGTTTAAGAAAAATCATGAATTAATTGAAATTAATTGGAAAATCTGAAATAGGGATGAAATGAGATCTGGTGTTCTTCACAAGTACCTGCAGGTTACATGTGCTCTCTGAGAAGGCCTGACTGAAGCAGCGATGAAGGATAAGCAGCTGGTAGGGAGCTCCCACGTGTAGGGAAGCTGCACATCTCCCTGCCCCATGAACATGAACAGGGAAAGCTGCACCATGCACTGAGCCTGAGGAGGCCAGAGTTGCAAAGCAGGGGCAGAAACATCCGTGGGGCTTCACGCTGCCTTTGGATAATTAGGAAAGAGCCCTGCTACAATTTTGGTACTGGTTTTGCTTGGCCAGTGTTATAGGTGTTCACAATTTATTGCACAAATTGAAAACAAAATGCACTCCTAGTGTAAAACATTGGGGTGAAGTGTGGGAACAGGCAGGCAGCTTTTTAAGGTACTTCAGGTTCGGTGTTTTCCAACACTTTTGTTGGAGAAGGGGTTGTGGCCCAAATTTAGGTTAATGTACTTCCATGTCAGGATAGCATCTAGTCCTAACTGTAGGGAATAAGTGAAGAAGGGTCATGGAGGGACCCCACAGGCAGGGCATGGGCAGGTGACAGTTGTTGGTGCTGGTGTGGATCTCCAGCAGTGCCCAGATGGGACATGTCATGCACGAAGTACAGGAGAGGAGGACGAGTAGAACAAACTGACCCTTGCGGGGAGCTGGTGGGAGAAGTGGGATTTGTTTGAAGAAACTAGTTTCAGACTCAAGCATATGGGGTGAGGGTGACATCAGGAGAACAGGTGTGTGTCCTGGCTGCTGAGGTGGTGGGATGACACAACTCCCTTGAGGACAGCCACAGAGATGGACATCAGCCCTGTGGCAAGATGTTCAAGCCCCAGTGAGGCTGTACCTGTGAGCTCAGGGCATTCAGGTCACTGAGCATCCCCACAGAGTGACTGGTTTTGGTCATTACTGATTTGAGCCAGATTCTAAGCAACAGCCTAGAGGCAATAGCTGTGATTTTTATAGGGCATGATGGCTTATTTAAATGCAAAATTCTGGCAATAATGCCTTCATCTTAGCACAGTAAACTATCAATAGCTGCCTCTTAAATAGCCTTGTATTTTAAACAAGATATTGCTAGTAACCAGCATTTACTATTAAGTGTAAACAAGCCCCAGAAGTACTGCCAGATCTGTGGATTTTTTTTTTTAATCTGCATAGCTATTAAAACTCCTTTTTTGCAATGCTGGCTAGCTACATTTTAGGGTTATATTTCTGTCACCACTGCTGCTCCTCTCAGGTGCAGAGTTGCTTCCCAGAGAGATGGGTTTGCCCCAGCACTCCTTGTATTGGCCTACCTGGTACCAGCACTGCCAGGGCCCCATGAGGTCCCAGTTTGAGTGCTGGCTGTGGCTGCGTGCAGATTGCACACAGAGTTCAACTACCAGATGGGGGACACTAAATCTGCTTTGTCTAGCCAAGAGCTGGCAGACAGAGCACCACTGCTGCTGTCAGCCAGAGAAATACTGAAAATTGCTCAATCAACATAATTCATGGAGCTTTGTGGCAGGTCTGCAGCCCTGCGGGGCAGTGGGGGAGTGCCAGGTCAGCCACGGAGCCGTGTGAGCCCATGGCCCTGCTCCCTTGCTTGGAGGACACACAGCTGCCTGCTGCTGCCCAAGTGTGGTGGCTCTTGCAGAGGTACTTTCAAGGGGAAAATACTGTGAATGACACTATTGCTCAGTAATTCCTGCTTTGTTTGCAGAGAGGGGTCATGGCTAAGAGCTCTGTCCCTGATCCCTTTTATGATGTTGCCTTAAAGCACTCTGAGGACCACAGAGATACTGGGCTGCCCCCACCCTTCCTACCATCCCTGCTTGCCATAAACTACAGACTCAAGGTGAGGGAGAAATAGCAAACAAGTTTAAATCTTTACGGGCAGAGCTGGGCAAATACTCTGGCAAGTCTCAATCATTCTTTCAAACAGAGAGAGGTTTAATCTGTGGTATTGTATTTCCAGCCCTTATTTGCTCTTCATGCTCTGTAGCAGTGGGCTTTCCAACAAGAGAGCCTTGAGCAAATGGAGCCTTCAAAGGTCCTGGCAGCAGTGAGCAGTGCTGCAAGCTGTGGAAACGGGCTGCCTCATGGTGCTGAGCAAAGTGGGCACTTGTGTGGTGTGTTCAAGTGTCCAGCTGAAACATCCTCTTTGGTCAAAAAGTGGAATAAGGAGCTGACTCTGAAGAGCAAGCATCTGGTGTGCAGAGGGGAGCAGCTCACCAGTGTCAGTGGCCCTGCCCCAGTGACACAGTCAAATAGGTGCAGACCAAACCTTGAATCCATTTAAAAATAATTAAAATTGTTCTTTTCAATCAGTAAGTGATAGTATACTGTACTTTTCAGAGGCTGTCTACCTTTTTTATCTTAAGCTGTAAATTATGTAACCTGGTGGCTCCTTCTCTAGTCCTGAATCTTCCTGGAGATGTTTATCAGGCATGTAAGTGTAGGGGTGTCAATGTTTGTAAACATGCAGGTAAATCTGCATATATGTGTTTGCATTTTGGTGCAGCCTTGCTAATGTCTAGCAAAACAGTTTTTTAGTATACTGTATGGAATATGTCTTGCACATACCCTCAAAGATTCAACTACAGAGTCAATTCAGTAGCTATTAGTAGTGAAACATAAATGCAACTTTAGATTTTTGCCAGCTGGCTCAGGTAACATGCTCTCATCATCTATAGAAGCACAGCATTTTTCAATTCTCTGGCTGAATATTAAAATCCAAAATTAGACTATAATTACTAAAGGGTTTGATGGCAGTCTGTAGCCAGACCAAAGAGGGCTCCTCCCTCCTGTGTGTCCTGCAGGAGCTCTGTTCTGAAGCCCAGATCTGCAGCTCATCACATCTGCTCAGGTGGGGCAGACAGCTGTCAAGAAATCTGTGTTTTTGCAGTACCAGCAGGAAACTGGTCAGGAGATTTCATCAGCTGCTTGATTTATATGAATGAATGTAGATTTCTGTGTCTTAGATAATTGCAATAGTTTTGAATGTGTTTTGACTTTTTTTCCACGTTCTGTCAATGGCAGCAACTACTGTTTTTGACTGTATCTATATTTCTGGACCTTGTGGGGATATAATATTTTCATCTGATCCTGTGTCCATCCCACAAACAGCGTGGTTTTCTGTCTTTCACCTTTCTATGTCACCTACATGTCATACCAGCGTTTTCCATAATGTAATCCTCTACTTTATGCCACAACAGAGGAACACAGTGATATTCTGTAAGTAGCAGTCCAGAGAACAATAGATTGCTACCATGCTAATTGAGTATTTCAGTGAATAGAGTGGTAGTACAGTGTGTTTTATTAGGTGATTTGTTTCTGTTAGTGGCCACTGGGTGGAGGAAAAACTGAAAAAGCTGAGAGCAGGAGTACAGCTGAAAAGTGGCCTGATTTCCAGGGCATTCAGGGCGCCTGCAATTCCTCCTGTTTTGCTGACAATGCACAGCAGCTCCTGAAAAATCAGAGGATTTTTTTAGATGCCTGATATTGAAATATGGGACTGGCCTTGTGATAATTCCAAGGTGCAGTTTAGCAAAAAAGTCCAGAAACAATAAGTGGTGACTGAGTGAATGAGGCTTGGACAGCGTGAGGTTGGCACGCTGAGCCAGCACCAGTGGGAACATGGCTTGGAAGGGAGCTCTTCAGGAGGTGCTTGCTAAGAAAAGGCAACACTTATGCTTGCTTTTTCTTTATAATTCTCTTCCCTATTATTTTAAGATCTAGGGAGCAGAGGATTTGCAGAAATCAGTGGGAATGTAATTTGGCTGTACAAATACATTTGCTGACTGCGGGATGTATTGCATCTAGAAATTAACTGTGGGCACAATAATTTAAAATCCTTCTCCTTTTGATCCCTCCTGTTGTATGTTAATCTGAGGTTATATGCAAGAAATTACTGTTTCTAACCTAGTTTCCTCACTCTCCTGCAGGCTGGGGATGAGACTAGCCCCTTAAGTTGCTGCTAACACTTCTACTGCATGGGCTTAAAATGAAAATGAAGCAGTTGCTTGGAAACCCTCCTCCTCTTTGCGCCACTTATTTTACTTTTTCAAGATGTCTTTTTCCAGACTATTAATTGTAAGTGGCAAAAATATTACAGGCGGAGCTGCTGGTGTCTCTTTCTGTGAAGATTGTGTAACAAGCCCCTGGTTTGATTGGCACATGCTTTGCCAGACTTCAACCCTTTTGAACAAAATTCGGAGGGAATTTGCTGTGCTAAGTAACTCCCTAAACACTTTAGGGAGATTTAATCCAAACTGATGCCTGAGAATAGATGTAGAGAACAATACACTGGCAAAAAAATGGGGTGAACTTTGAATAGGTAAAATATCTCAGTGCTTTGAGGCAAGGATCTGAAATTTGGTAGGGAAGGATTGTCTGGATCTTTACTCAGGGAAGTTTTTCTTGCTGTTTCTAATCTATGAACATTTGGTTAAGTTGTAGGCATTTCCTTATAATTCGCACATGTTGCATGGGGACAGCTTTGGTGTATTTAGCAGCTAAAACCAGAACCAATTTCAGCCACACTCTGGACAGAGCTGAAGTCAGCCCTCCAGGGTTTATACCTTATTGAAGGGATATGCAGAAAGTGGATAAACTATGTGCCAAGAAATCCTAATTCGAACATCTCTGAAATTGTGAGTACTTTGCTTTGCAGCCTTAATGTTCCTACTGGGTAGATTTCTTGTGCAAAGTATATATTTTTAAATTGGGCAATTTAAGCACCAACTGCATATATCTTAAAATTTCTGCAGTATGAGAATCTAATTTTTTCCATACATTTTTGTTACTGTCAATCTGTTGGGAATTCCAATGGGCATGGGATTCTATATCTTTTATAAGGGGGTTGTCAGTGCCAAAGGCTGTGTGTAAAATTTAAATTGTATGGATCCATAAAATGCCTCAGGGTTATCCCTACTATCTGTAGGAAACAGTCCTACAGAGAATACTCTGGGACTGGATAACACTGGGCAGTTTTCCTGACACTGGATCAATGATTTATTTTATTTTGGAAGTCTCTTCTGAGCAGTAGGGTTGGGGCAAGATAACTCTTGAGGGTTTAACAGCATGAGATCTCTTATGCAACTAAGCAAATAGCTGGGCAGTCTGGTTACACAGAGTTTCAAAATACACCAAGCATGCAAACATTTTTTTGAGTAAAATAGTAAATTGTGGTTTGTTTCAGTGGCATGCAGAATATGATACATACCTTAAAATTTTTAAGTGGGAAAAAGTATTGGTGGGAAACCCTGGACTGTGGGAATTGTTTGCCTTTATATTTTTGGATGTTACTATAAAACATGTTGCCTGTCCATGTCTGTTATGGCAGTGCAGTGTAATTGGGGGTTTGGAGGCACAGAAGGATTATGTTGTGTTCAGCAGACTCTTGAGTCTTTCTGGGTCTTGTACTTCTTAAATAAGGGCAGGGTGATGGGTATGTGTAGACTAATGGGGCTACAAGACATCATCTAGATAGAACCAAGAGGGTGTGGGGCAGAAAAAGGATCATACACTTTTGAGGGTTTTTGGGTGTGAAACCTGGTTTAAAATGGATTTATTGCTTTATAGATCACAAAGGACTACCATCCACCTGAGCTGCCTGGGCCTTCTTTTTTCACCTGAAAATTTAGTTTGGAATTTGAAGACTTTGGAGATTTTGGAAGGTTTTAAGCATCTGGAAATCCTGGAGATGCAGTACCTTGCACAGGCTGTGTGCCCAGGCAGCTCTACAGGGCCTGGAGACCCACCTCACTGAGCCTCCTCTGCCCAGAGCATCTGGACCTGCTCCTCCCCAGGATGTCCTGGTTAGAGGGGCTGCAGAACAGCCCTTCCAGCCTGGACTCACACAGATGCTACAGCTCAAATTTCCATATCACAGAAAGCTGGCAGGAATACACATCAGCAGTGCTGAAATATGGCTGGAAGCTGTGTGCATCCATCGGGATCAGTGTGCTAGCATTCCCTCGCTCAGCAGGGGTGTGATGAGTTCTTCATTAATATTAGCTCTGGAAGGAGCAGATGGTGCCAAGATCTTACACCTCAGAGCCAGAATTACAGTTTGGAGCCAGCTGCATCGTTTTCATTAGCTGGAGTTTCACAGGCCCCTTCCAGCCTTCACTTACCTTTGTAAGTGGGATGAGAGTGCCAGCTCAATGAACTGATGTGTTAAACATGAATAATGTGTTGAATGATTATCCTAAGCAACACTACTGACTGATGAGGTAGTGCCACGTTCCCAGCCTCTCTCTAGCTGATGGCATATGTTGCTTTCACCAATAAAATCTGTAGACTCTAGAAAACTGGCTCTCAAGTTGCCTGGAGAAAGCCATAAGCAGCAGCAGGAATGTTCAAGGGTTGGATGGCAAGAAAACCTCTGGCAGTTCTACATAACTCTACTTAGATGGTGAGGCACTTGAGAAAAGGTGGTGGAGAGGCAACTGGGAAGAATGGCTGAGATCAGTATTTTGTACTTGCATTTTTGTGTATTAAATTAGTGAATGCTGCATCGGCACAGACAGGTTTCATATCACTACCATGATAGTAGAACAGAAGCATTTTTTAATGCTGTAAAGGCCAATGATAAAATGAAGATATGTGTAAATTAAGGTAAAGACACTGGTGAGCCAAGACAGTGGAATCCTTACAGGTAGTGCAGAGAAGAAGATGAGAAATCAGAAGATTTTGATGAAAATTACTTAAAGGCTGCTAAAATAGAAATCACAACTTCAGGATGCAGTGGTGTGGTAGGGATTCCATAGGCTGATTCAATTAACTTTACTCTGCTTAAGCTCACCAGGAATGTGTTCAGACACATGACTGAAGATTCAGTAGTTTGCACCAAGAGCAAAAGGAATTTTGAACATTTGGCTTAAATAATGCAGCGTGTCATTTGCTTCCCAACGCACTCTAATCTGCTTTAAAACACAGATGGGTCATCTCAATGCAAACTTGAAATGTCCTGTTCATGGCAAAATAATTTACCTCTGAGAAAGGGTATCTCCATCTCAGTGTACATTCATTTGTCTAACTGTTCTGACTCTGGCATAGAGCTCCCCTTTTCCAGGATCTGATCTGCATACAGAAGTCAATGGGAACATTGCTTTCAGCCTGGCAGGGGCTGTAAGCAGTACTGACAGAGATTATTGCTCTTGCTACACTGTAAATTTGGACAAGCTAGCTAAACAGTGCAGTCTTTTAAGTGGATGGTTGTGAAAGGTTTTTAAATCTTGTCTATTGTCCATTAATGACTTTTCCCTGTTTGTTTTTTCTTGTTGATCCAGTTGGTTTGATGCAAATGCAGTGAAACCATCCGGGAATACAAAAAGTATCAGAAAATAACTTTCAGAACACTTAAAAAGGACTCTCTAAGACTTCAGCTAGATATAAAGGGCTCTTACGGTAGCATTTATTTTTTTTTTAAAAAAAAGGATTTGGTGATTATTACTGTGCTTGGATTTAGCAGAGTGTAATTTATTCCTTTCCCTAACAACTGGCAATTAAACACAAAAGGTGAAATACATCCCACTGAAGCGAAGGGCAAAACTCCCACTGTCTTTGGTGGGACCAGGAATTCACCCAAAGTGTTCATGGAGAAATACTTTGAACACAATGTTATAAGCTATGCTTTGTGGTAGTAAAGAGCTTTTTATTAAGCTCACAGCTCCAGATATTCGCATGATGCATTTGCATGGTCTTTGCTGCACTGCTGTTCTCCCATCTGCTGAAGGGCATGTACAACTCATAGGAAAAGGGGCACTGATGGCTCTGTGTACATATTTCTTTTAGGCAACAGGTATTCCAGGTACCAGCCTGTGTCTGATGTAAGGTGGAGAGCACCCCTCTGGTATGAGAGGAAAATCTCTCAGCCTGTATTTCTGGGCCAAGGGAAGGCTTTGGGTGGCTCCATCAGGTTTCTGCTCCAGCATTGGTCTCTAGGATTGACTGACACTGGGACCACCTTAACCAGGGGCAGGAATCCTTGGATCCAGACTTGCTGGTACCTACCCCAGCCAGTTACTCAGCTCTAGCAAGACAAGTTACTCTGATAGTTGCTCAAAAAAGCAACTCCCCAGCCACATCACTTCTTGCTTGCTGGGGCTTCATTCAGAAAAGAGCTACTGACCCTACTAGTAAACTGAAAAAACATACAGAAACATAAAAAAAATAAATTTAGGGATGAGAGGGAGGAGGAGAGTACCTGGAACAATTATTATTTTGTTTCAAACTCTGCTCTGATAGTAGAGTCTCACAGAACTCCACCATGCTTGCCTGTTGCAGGGCCTACTGGGGGGGTTTTCAGGCATCAGGGTCTCATGAGGAGGGAAGGAGGACAAAAGAATTCACTAGAAGAAAATAAAGCACAGTCGAGTGGGAACAGCACAACCACTGCTCCTAGAACCTGGGAGCTCTGGGGATCTCTTGGCTGGTCACTCACAGAGATGTTGCTCATTATGGGAGTAGAGTTAGTCAGTAAAGAGAAAAAGAAATGTTTAGCAGCAACAAAGCTGAACACACCAGCTTCACCCCAGAGTTGTACTGTAGCCTTCTCGGGATAGAAAAGAGTGTGATGAATGTGAGACCTGCCTGTACACATCCCCTCCTGAAGGCATTACATATGCACTGCACGGGGAAGGTATTTACATCTTTAAGCAGTGATCATTGTCCAGCGTGGTTTAGTTCCAGCAGATGAAACTCCCACAAAAACAGCTTTTGCTGGATCTCACCAAATAGGCCAGATAGTTTTGTGGCTGGCTGGGGAAAGCAACATTTGCCAGTGTGCTTTGCATGAGCAAAGGAGGGTCCAAAATAGTAGAAACTACAGCTTTCTGTTGATGCTTCTCCTAAGGGGATCTTTCCTCCCAGGTTCAAATGCCAATAACTTTCAAATCCTTTCTTTGTTCCATCTGACAGGGCGAAATGAAACCCCATGGTGGTCCAAAAGAGTGTGTGGGGCTGTTCCTGGACACCAAACACTCCATATTATGCCTGCATGCAGGTGAAGTGATGTTGGTCACGGGACGGAACGACAGATTCCCTTCTCCCTCTGGTATGTGTTGCGTGCCTTGTTGATAAAGAAATTCAGGCTTAATATTCATCCATACTACAGCTGCATGTGGGCATGGTGGCTTGGGGGCTCAGGCTCTGTGGCTTTTGCCTTTCTTTTTCCATGTAATTGATGTGAAGATTGATTTGAAGAGCTTCTTCTGGCAGAAGCCAGAGGACCACTGAACACACACTGCAGCTTTTTTGTGTTTAAAGGTAGATTGGCCTCATAAAATCCACCTAAAGAAGTCACCATTTAGAGAGGAATATTAACAAGGGATTTTTGTGTTTCCAAATCATACCAATATGATTCATATATTGAACACTGTTCATATATGTATATGAACTATATGAACATATATATGTATGTACCCACCAGAGTTGCTCTATCTCTCCCCTCCTCAGCTGGACAGGGGAGAGAAAATAGAGCAGAAGTCTCATGAACAAAGATAAGGTCAATAATTGGGAGAGATAACAGGCAAAACTTCCAGTAGGCAATGTTAAAGATCAGAAAGGTTATGGGGAGTTGTTGGTGTTCTAATTATGGTGGAGGGATGAGCTGTGTGTCACTTGCCCACCTTCATTCCGTGTTACATCATATTGATTTTGGTGCAGAAAATTCTTTTTTTGTTGATGCAAGTGAAGATTGTGTGATGAATGTGGATTTCCATGGTACTTCTTAATATTTTACAGAGGTGAGGTGTGGAATGTATTTGGTCTTTGTGGCAAATTTTTGGGGTGGAGGGGCTACAGGAGTGGTTTCTGTCAGAAGGGATGGGGGAAGGTAACTTTATGATTGAGTTTTATTTCTCATTATACTACTCTGCTTTGATTTAAATTAATTTTTCCTAAAGCTGAGTCCATTTTGGTCATGAGGGTAATTGCAGAGTGATCTCCCTGTCCTTGTCTTAGCCCAGGAGCCTTTAGTTGTATTTTCTCTCCCCTGTGCAACTGTGGAGGGGAGTGACAGCATTGCTTAAGTGAGCACCCAGGGTCCAGGCAGAGTCAACCCCCACAAGCCAATAATAGGTTTTTCATTTAGTATAATATTAAAAGCATACAGTATGGCTGTACAGAGCTGAAAAATGGTGATAGTCAAGGGAGTAAAACAGAGACAAAATATATTTTTGTCTAGCATGACTTGAAATATGCATCCACTTCAGGTTTTGTTAATAATGTTCTTAATTTGCAGTGTGTCATAGGAGGGCAGCATTAGTTATTGTAATGCTGTATTTATGATGTTATCAGTAGCAGAGCTGCAATACAGTTTTCACCACAGATCAGATTGCTGGGGATTTAGCATGAAAGTTCAATAACAATAATTTAATATGTACTATGTACAATCAGAATGATAGTTTTTTCTTTCAGCAGGAAATAATTGTGTTGGCTCATTAAGCCCTGTTCTCCTATCCTGTTCCCCATTTAGAAAATAATTATACATAGAGGTCCATATCTTCCTGTGGTTTCATTCTATGCAGTTACATTGACTTTAGTGTTGTGACACTGGTTTATGTCAGGAAAGCGCTGAGACCAGTTGTCAAAGACAGTATCTTTATGTGGCCATAAAAGTCAAGGAAGAAATCATATCAGGACATCAAATGTACTGACTGTATTTTAATATATTTCAGCAAAAATGGAAAGTGGGGGATTTCAGGTAAAGTATATTTACTTCTTGGTCTTTGAATTTTGGTTCAGTGCAAACTATCAGACACCAAAATTTCACTATTTCTGTAACTTTTTCCAAGTGAATTTATTGCTCCTGATATGTGCTGAATTAACAGCCTGGAGACTGAAGCCATTTAATTTGGGTGGATTTCAAGCTTCCAACACAGAGCATGATTGTTTCCATTTTTTTGGGAAGGGATGCTCTCTCTTTGTCCCTTGTACAGTCCCAGGCTTGCTGATGATGCTCAATGAACAAACATAAATAACAATAAAGTCTAATGGGATCTGTGCAGCTGTCTTGGACAGGGCTTGGGAGATGAGACCACCCCGTGCAGGATCCCAGTGCTGCTGCACCTCTCCTGGCTGCTCATCCTGCACATTCTGCCCATGGACCAGAGCAGCTGCTGGCCAATGCCTGCTTCTATCAGCACTCTGTAGCCTGCTCCCTTTTTCTTTTCTCTGAGGGATTTAGGAATCCACATCTTAAAGGAGGGGTTGCTTTCGGCCTGCTGCTAAAATCAATTTTTAACTGTCCCTTCTAGATTCTACATTCTGTCCCTTATTCTACACCTGAAGCTGGATGTTTTTTGCTCACAGAGCTGCCACCACAGGTACTTGTCCAAGTACTTGTTATGAACTAAGGAAAGAAGGAATTGGAAGGTGGAAAATTTCTCAAGCTCAGTATGACCTAACAAATTTGAGCTGTTAGGAGTCAGGAAAGTTTCCCATCTATTTAAGGATCAACGCTGGGCTGGTTGGTGAGCCAGGGTGAAAACACCAGGGAATACTCTGCTCCTGTGAGGTGCCAGCCCAAACGTTGATACCTGGTGTCACCATAGGATGGTAGCACCTTGCAGGAAACACACACATCTTGCAGGATTGGTCTGCAAAGTCTCTCTCCACCCAGTAAATTCTCTGGATGTAGTCAGTGAGTAGAGCAACCGTCTTCAAGTGCTTGATATAGGGGATTAATGTTGGCATTGGTCTGAGCTGTATGGCTTTGCTTTTAATACTAAAGTCAGGATGTGGGGGAAATATGAAAAAGCTGAGCCAGGTTTTTGCCCTTTGAAGACAGGGAAAGGTCTGTGCAATAAGCTACCCTTTATACCAGGCTAAAAAGAAATAATTCTTTCTTATTGTTGTTGAATTGGCCCAAAGTATCACTGTGAATACATCTAGCTGTTTCCAGTTGCCTTTAACTGAGTTAGATACTGAATATTTGAATTCTTTATAAACACAAGATAAAACTATCATGATTTTCCAGAGGGCTCACAATGCAATGTAAACAATTCAGCTGAAGTGAAGTATTTATTAATAATCTCTGAAACACTAAAGATTATTTCCTTGTCGGTAGCTACAAAATGCCACAGTATCTGCCTTCACAGGAACAATCCATTCCTGGCTCACAGACACTTCCTATGGGGAGGCAAAGGTCTGTTCCCTACAGCATTCAGTATTTAGTGTCTGCTGGTTTTGGGGATGGTGATTTGTGACAGTTATTGGTGTCTGTTGGTATCTCATTTATCAATGGCCAGAAAAAACAGACATTAAACTTTCAAGTCCATTAGGAGGACTTGGGCTCGTGTGCTGAACTGATTGATACTGATGCATTATTAGAGTTGGTGTTCTTCAGATAAAATAAGGGAGAATTTTTTGACTCACTTCAATTACATCTCCACCTGCAAAGAATTGCCTTGTTTCTCTAGTATTAATGAAGTTCCAGATTACCTTTTTTGTATTTTCTCCCCTCTGCTCCCTTAGCCTCTCACCCATTGCCCTGCCAGCTCAGCATACTTTTGATTAACAGGAGAAGATTTTATCTGTCTCTAGTGTTAAGCTAGTCTGTCTCTTTGCCCTTGTGGGAATCTTGTGGGAATGAAAAAATCCAGTGGCATTACAAAAGGAACCATGAAGACTCCTAATGTCATCCTGTTCAGCATTCCCCTTCTTAGTAAAACAAGCTTTAATATTCAGGACATTGAATACGCTGTAGGGAGTGCCAATTTCTTGCTTGTATACTTGTTGAATTGCCAAAGTCTCTTTGGCTCTCCAGCAGGGATGCACAATAGTAGAAATGAGTAAAGTGAAATGCCAGATCCAGCTCTGATCAAACTCTGGAGGAGTTTTTATTTAGATTTGAACTTTCTCACAGCCATTGCTATACAATAGTTGCTGGTGCTTGGTGGCTTGCCACAGTGTGAATATCATATACTGGAATGTGTTTAGCTTTAGAGGATTACCTGGGAAAAAGCCTTTCCAGTTGTAATGCTTTAAAAGGTTTGTTCCAGCCCCGACTTCCCTCACCACCCCACCCTTGCATTTTAACACCTGCATGTGAATATAATAAAGTGCAGTTGAAGCTGGTCATTTACAGAGAAGGAAGAGCCCTGGCGTGGTAATTGAGATGTTACTGCCTGCCTCCATGGCACATATTAGCTGAATAAAACATGCAGTCAATAAAGTGAAACAAAACAATAAAACTAAGCCCTTTGGTGCTCCATTATGGGGTGTTATGCAACATAGAAACCTGCAGTCATAAAACTGAGAATGAGAGAAACCTTACACTTTCAAGAACAAAGGCATCCAAGCATCAAGTTGGAAACAGCACTAAACTTCCACTCTCTCTGCACCTGGAAGCAGTTAGTTTTAAAAGCCATACTGGTTTATGCTGCTCTCTTCCAATTTAAATAGGGCCTTCATGTGTTCTTGTCAGATGCTTATACAGAAACATGGTTTTAATTAAGGCATGCATTGATCCAAGTCCAAAAGATACATTTATTTCAGAAGATAAATTCATTAGCCATAGGCATAAAAAGCTGGTGTTCTTACTGAGATGATTCCAGCCTTGGGAATGATGTTCTGTATCCTTTCTAAGTGTATATTGTGCCATGCAGCTCTGGTTTGCATGACATCCATCAAATACACTGTATCCTTAAGCTGTTGGGCATAGTTAGTTTTGAGAAATAAAGGCAAGCTGAAAGAAAATTAAGATGTATAAGCATGGGAGGACAGATGTTTTCAGCTGTCAGATTTCACTAGCATTTATCAGTAATTTATGTGTGATACTTAGCTATGGAAAATAAATCCTGATGAATAATTTATTGAAATATATGAGCAGTAAATTTCCCGGACACAGTAGCATGTTTTCTGACTGTCTTTGTAGGTATTTATAGATTAAAGATATTTTTTCAACACTTCTTGGGGTGTAAATGAGAAACCTCTCAGGGACATGGTATCTTTCTCATCAGATGGGCATAATGCACTCCCTGGTCCTGGAAGTCAAAAAATGTGTAACATTTCCCCCAGTTCTTAGTTTGTTAAAATTTATTTCCCTCAAATATTGTCCCATGTGTATTCCTGAAACTTCTGGGGGCTTATGGAAAGCATAACATAAAAAATGTACAAACCAAAATGATTGTTTATGACCATCTCTTTACAGTGGTAAATGATTAAAATGTTTATATAATTTATATAGTTCATGTAACCATTTGAAAGGAAAAATTGAAAAACTGTAATGTGAAAAATTAGCAAGCATCAGAAATTTGGAAAAAATATGTTTTCTGCCTTGCTTTTTCCCTCTTCCTCTTTTGGATTAAATTTTCTCTAATGTGTGATACATAATTGAGATAAATACTCAGAGTGGTGCACCATTTTCTGACAAATGCTCTGGTAAAGTTCTGGCCTTTTTCCATGAACTCCTTAGGCTTGAAATGATTTCAGGCAAATATATTCTTGACTATCTTCATTCACAGGAAAGGCCCCATCTGACTCCTGACCACTTTCATGCTTGATGTTTTTTATGGGCCTCATTTAATGTCAGGGCACATGACAGATGTGCCTTGACATGGGTGAACTTTGGACGTGGCACCGCAGGTTCAAACGCTCGCAGGCCCTGGGTCATTACTGTGCCATCTGCTTTCCATGGGGCTGCAGGACAGACCTTATTGTACCATTTAAAGGGACTTGACTGCATGATCAGAAGTGCTGCTTGGTGACATATATCTCTTCTTTGATTGTACTGTACTGAGCTAAAGAAAAGAGTGCTTTTCCACTTTATTACTGCTTGTATTGTGTGACTGCACCTCGTTACCCACACCCTTTCTTCATGTGGAGTTAAATAGTCAATGTTGCTTTGTGTTTCTTGCTCTGTATAAAACTATTGGACACTTTGCATCTTCTAAATCTGTGGAGTTTGAGCAGTTCAGCACCAAGATTTTAGCCATGAAACACTGAAGAGGTAAATGAACCTCTGAGTATCTTTTCACGGGTATCTGTGAACGCAGCTGTCACAGGGCTGGATAAATGCTTGAACCCAAAACATTGAGTTGGTCTATGTAGCATCGATTAAACCCATGACCTGAAACCTGCTGACATAAATTTTTCATGTCAATTACCTTGCTGGTTTATTTGATATTTTGGTTTTGTGTTTTGAAGGACACTAAAGAAAAACTAAGCTTCTGTTTAGGAGACATTTTCTGTGTTGCATCATTATTGATGTCCTTACAGCTTTTTTATGTTCAAGTGACTCTTCATGCTCTTTCTCTCTTGAAATTAGTCTCTCAATTAGTATAGATAAAAACACAGTACGTACAGTGTACATTCATGTACTGAACATAATCCAATGAGCACATAAATGAAGGTTACAGAAGGTGAACTAAAGGATACTATGTAAAACGTAAAATCAAATCATTTGAATAGTTTTCCAAGATTTATTTTTAAGAACTAAGCAACGAACAATTTACTGAATATTAGGGAAGGCTTTTATAGACTAAATAATGGTTATTCCTGTACTTAAATGCCAGCATGCAGATTTACTGTGGTGAACTGCAGCAATTCTTCCTTAGAGAAAAACACAGCCTTGGTCAACGTCCTCCAGTAAAATAAGCATTTTTAAGGAACTGAAGTTACAGCATAATTTATAGTTATCATTTTAAGCACTGAATTTTCAGACCATTTCCCTCTGTTTTCTCACTGGTGAGGAATGCTCAAGGACTGTAATATCAGCATGTGTCCTATTACAAAGTTAAACTCTAGAAACATTTAACAAGGTGAAAGTTCTAAATTTAGCCCGTTTTCTCCAGCCCGCACATCACACACCTGTGGGAGAACGTGTACAGTATATTCTTTCCACACTTTCTTTCCTCATTACAAATCAAAACACTAACCTAGCATGCAAAACATGCATTGCCCATTTTCATTAAGTCAAGAGACCTATTAATTCCAGATGTAAGCTATTCCACTTATCCTTCTTAAAGCTGGAGAGGGCATTTTTCTCTACCCATGTCTGGCTTTCCACATGTGATCCTGTTCTTCCACATTTCCTGGCTGCACAGTGCACCCCTGAAGGTTTGTTGCTTCAGTTGTGCAGCCGGTGCAGAGGAAAGGCATGGCTGTGTGAGAGGAAATCAGAGAGCTCAAAGCTTTTCACTTACTCCAACATGCTTTCAAGATATTTGGTCAATACCATTGCCTACTTCAAATATGCCACCTGAGCGGTGATAGGCCAGCTTGGGGCTAAAATCCCCTCATTGTCAGTGACTGTTTTCAAAACATCCATGGCAGGTATAACAAGCCTAAGAAATAGAGAAGTTACTATTGCTGTATGGTACTGGGTCTGTGTTACAGCTACAAAATATTAGATGTTCACAAATGGAGTAGGGTAGAGAACCAATGGCTCAGATGATTTATTTTCAAAATGAGGATGAGCTTAACCCTGAACCATTTTTGTGTGTTTGTGGATCTAGCTAATTTCTTAGAAAACATGTGTTTAATGATGGCTTTTTGCAGCCTTTTACCAGGTCTGTTGGTGGGAATTTCTTTGTGAGTTAAAATAATTTCCCAGGAATCACTGCAGCTGAAATAGTTTGGGGTATAAGATATTTGTCTGTAGTAGTAATTAACAAAAATGATCACTCTGCTTCGTGCACTGATGTTTTTTGTCACAGTTAGTTTAAAAGTTTTTTTCAAGCATTGATGTACTGATCTTTTGTGAAATGGCACTGAGTGTGCCTTGGCAGCCCTCAGAAAAACTTCCTATCCCTGCTGGTACATGACTAAACAGCAGTGCACGGTAAATATATGGCTGCTGCTACTGAAATTTTATACCTGTGTTGATCTGCACAACAGGAAAAAATTGATTTTGATCCTAACATTAAAAAAGGGACACAGAATTGGGAATATATGGATGAGCTCACGAACAGCTGATCTTGGGTATAAATTTTTACAGGAGGATTTTTCAGGTCAGGGATTGCTGCTTTGATGTGTGTTGGTGTGATGAGCACTAAGGGGTGGCAATCTGCCTGGGGCTCGCAAATGCCAGGGTAAGACAAACAACTGCTAAATTGCCCTTGCTGCTGCTGGGTTTGTGATATATCTGAGCACATAAGTGTTTATAAAAATTATTTACTCCATATCTTTGCTTTCCTTGTATTTCAGGAGAGTACTTACACAAGACAGAGAAGTGGGCTTGTGAACAACCAAGTGGAATAAAATTGTCACTGTGTTGCTGGCAGACTTTGAAGTTAAAGTGCCATGACAAATTTTTTCCCTGTTTTTCTTCAAATAAGATTTTTTTAAAAAAGTGTGTTAAGGCATAAGTCTAGTTGAAAATGATTATTTTTGTCAGAAACATGCTGGAAAAATAGAAAATTAGAGACTGATGAGTCACATGATTCTTAGGTACAGACCCAGAGTATGAAGTTGGGAATGGACTTTTGCCATTGCAGCTAAGATGTCCTTCGAATTTTTTTAAGTGTTTCATTTGGCACACTGAAGTAAAACTAATAGAGGAAAACAATTTTTTCCAAGTCCACTGTATACATAGTTTGGAGATAGTAATCTACAAATATTTCCAGTAAGAACTTCAGTTGTGTTGCTTTAGGCCTCATAAAAAGTGAGGATTTTATCGCATTTTCCAGCTATCTGTTCTCCAGTGGACCTTAAATGCAAAGACTGGAAAAAAAACCACCTCTCTCAAAAAGTTATTTGTTGCCATTGAGGCACTGAGTGTTAATAAATTTAAACAAACATTCTTTGTACAATGTATGATTTGATTGCTTTCAGAGACAGAATGTGGTGCTTGCAATGGGACTTTTGTATTTTTTTAACTTGCGTGGCTTGCAATGCAAAAAGGCATCATGTTACTCATATATAAAAGGAGATGGGAGATAACAGGGCTAACATTTCCCCCTGTAGGAGTGCAAATTGGGAAAATCCAAACTGTTGTTCATTAGGAGACTTTCTTGCTACAGGCTGTCACTGAACATTCCCCATCCAGTGGTGCCTGTGAACAGTGGGATTAAAAATAACCAGCAGGAAAACAATAAGATGAGAAGGAGATCGAGGATGATGAAGATGTCTTGGGAGCAAATTCCATCTGCATGGTGCTCTTAAAGAGCTGTGGGCTCCATACAGTGTATTAGCATGTTAAAGTGCCCTAGAGAGGAGCCCTAAAGCAGGAAACTGGCTTGCTGATAGCTACATGAACTGTATAAAGGTTTGGAGGGTCCAAGCACTGTGCCCCTGCACAGCTGGTGTTGGATGCCAGTGCTCAGAACCCTTCATGCTACTTTTGAGCAACAAGTGAGTCTCTACTTTGAATATGAATGAGTGAAGTCAACTGCCCCTTAATTTATACACATTGCCAGAGACTGTCCCAGGGTTTGGAATTAAATACTCCAGCACAAATCTCTTTAAACCTCTCCTAAATAAGAAATTATGCTAAAGCTCTTTAGTAAGGAGGTTCTCCCCCCTGTTGAAATAAAAATCAATTATGTTTGCTCTGCTGTGAACAATGTCACTCCGTAGCCTTGCTTTCTAATTGGGTAATGCCTTAATGACCTGCTGGGAGGCTGTGATGCATTGCTTTGGACCCTCTCTGCAGGCTCTTAGACTACCAGTCAGATGTCAATGAAGCTTGGCTCAATAGGGGTTCTTTTTCTAAAATTCCATTATTCATCAGGGTTTATGCACTAAAATGATCACAAAATAAAACCTTCACATCAAGCAGAGTTAAATAGAATTATGGATGCTTTACCTCATTGTTAGACTTCGAGATTGTCACTGGATTAAAATTAGGTTCTTTTTTATTTGTTAAATTTGATGAAAACATTTTCTCGGTTTTGGGTTTTTCTGTTATGAAGCATTGAAAGAAGCAACTTTAAAGGTGGTGGATTTTCTTTTTTAATAAGGAGGTGTATATGTATTTTAAATGAGTCTTATCAGTTCCTGTTTATTTTAAACCATGAAACAAATGTTTAAAAAAATCTTATTCATTGTCAGTGGGTGATAAGTATCAAGCCATTTACTTAATTTAATAGCTGTGTCAAATCATCCTGGTTTTCTGTTAGAACTGGGATAAATAAGATCAAAAAATCTTACATTTGTTTTATATTTTCTTCCTAACATCTAATGGGGACCAGTAAAGTGGAATTTTAAAAACTGTTATTACAAAGCTGCTGTTTGAAGAGGAGAATGACCGGTTCTGGAGGACTTCTCTTCCAGAGCAACAAGGACTTCTTTCCTTTGCCTTTTTTCCATGATGACAGCCTGAATCTACATAGCTGTAAGGAAGGTAAAATTAAGCTGGGAAAGCATCTTTCCTACTAAATGTGTTCACATATATACTCATGTATGTGTATGCAATTTGAAAAGTAAAAGCAAATGACATTGGTGTATTTTTGTAGCAGCCTCAAGGAAAGTTTTATAGCTATTTAAACACAAATCTGTTATGCAGTGACAAATTAGGAGTTACCAGGGCAACTGCAGGTAACAATTTATTCGTACTATCCACCTTCCTAACGTGACTGTCTAATGTGTTGTGTGGAATACATGTATTTCCAAATTAGTGAGGAAGTCAGTCATATCATCACCATAAAATTGCACTTTTCCCTCAAGTTTATAAGGCTAGTGAAATATGCCATGAGAAATAAGTAAAATGTATAAATAAGTGAAAATTGTAATTTGCTTTACTTTTTCAGGTCCATATCTTCTGGAAAATTCTCTAGTTTTTAAGTTTTAACCTTCTGGTTTTAAAACAAGGCCAGAATTAGTATCTCTTAGGAACTGCATCAGTGAGATATTAATTTTTCATCAGAGCCTTCCCTCCCCAGAAAGATGTGAGATTTTCTGCAGACACTTCACCTTCATCTCTCACACTGAACTCACATTTTCAACAATCCAGTTCTCTCTGTCAGAGCTTCCATGTCCTTGTCTCCTGGTTAATACCATCACCTTTCCTTTTAACAGTTTTTAATGCTACACTTTGTGTACTTGTCTAGTATATAGGCCCATTCTATCATTTGCAACCTATCAGTTGTAATGTATAGGATCTTCTCATCTTACTGATTGTCTGTCAGACAGAGGAAAATGAATTGATGTTTCCTTCCACACATGAAGGACTTTGACACAATTGTTTCCCTAAAACCTTGGAAAGCTGCATGAAACCATGAACCCAGGCATTCAGACAATACATCTTACTCCAGTATTTTAAATGTTTTTCACATTTATGAAGGTTTCATCAACATCTGCATCTCTTCAGTTGTGAACTAGGTCATGAGATGTAGTCCTAAGTAGAATTTCTTGCTAGCAACTTCTTAAAAAGCCTCTTTTCTCCTCTGCTTTTCACTGTTGACACAGTCTGCCCAAAATGCTGCATTAAATTGTCTCCAGGGACAAACACCACAGTCACCACTGACTATACAGGTTTTTCAGACCAATGTTACCCAGCCCCCAGCTCTGATCTATCTCTATGCCCAATTAGAACAATAGGTGTTGAAATCTCAGAAGTTTGCAGTTTCCTAACGTGAAAAGCCTGTAATCCTCACATGATGGATTGCACCTTGTCAAGAAAAAAGTGTCTTTGGAATAATTGGAGACTTCAGTTTAGTATTGATCAATTACTTATGGTGAGAGCATGAGCTGGAGATTTGGAATGCTACAGGCTCACCAAAGTTGTTTTTAGGAATTTAGAGAGGTTTGTTATGGGTTCAGTGCTCATGTTTGATCTGTAAATGCTAAAAGGCTGTTCTGTTTTGTAACACCATGGCCCTACCCCTATCATGTGAGAACCATTCTCTGCACATCTCATTCTGATCAGTAAAGCAAATAAACTTGAACTTGGAATACTCTCAAGACCACTTGCTCATGTTTTCATAAAGCCTTAGCTGAAATACTCCTTCTGGCCATCCCAAACTGGAGTTTCCTCCAGTACACACTTGGACAATTATGGGACTCTGGAAGGTGACACAACACTCCACAGGGAGCCGTGAAGTCTCCTGACCCTGGCACACAGAACTGCAAAACTCATTAAATTACTTTATTCATAATGCTTCTGGAGTTACCTTTTCCACTTTCCTCTTCTCTCCTTCCACCTCACTGCCCCAGATATCTCTTTGGTCATTGGCCTTAAACAGTTGCATTTTAATGTTTTATCAGGCATACATAACAGGACAAAACCCTGGCTTCTATTTGAAATGGCACAAACGAACTGCAAAAATCACTATACAAATTATATGATTGCCTGGTATTGAGCTACAGTTTTAATGATTATAAAAAAATTAGTGGGTGACCTCACAGCACAAACCTATCTGCTCCCCAGGGAATGAAGGATTACATTTAATTTTGGATTGCCTAAATTTTATGGAAGGCTACTCTCTTGATACTTGAAGTAATGGCAGCTGTTTGACAAAGACACACTTAAGACTCAGGGTCAGATCAAATCTTGACATAGGGAGATTTTTGCTTCCTTCAGTATTTCTGGGTGTTGTTTCTTTTAAATGTCACAGAATGTCTTTTTTAATGCCTGAGAATTTATCTTCTGAAATAGTAAAACTCTGAGGGAGATCAGTGTTTGAGATTTTTCTGAGCACGTTCAGTACTGAATTTCTTAAAATAGTAATGAGCTGGTATCTAGGCCTGGTGCTGTCTTCTTTGCAAGGAGATGGGTCACCATGAAGGACTAGATGAATGAAGAAAAAGAAAAAGATTCAGACAGCTTTTGATCTACCTATGGGGCACTCTAAAAGCTTCCAAAGGGGAAAAAAAATAATTAGAAAATTGGTTAATTTCTAACTTAATTTTAAACATTCTCTATTTTTATCTTTTAGTATGAGTTCTGACTCTTCCGTTTACCAATGACAAGAGGTGAGAACTACCAAAATAAAAGAACTGTTGTGGATTTTCAGCATTTACATGGCTTCCATCCCTTTTGTTCCACAGTCCCCCAGGCTGTGAAATAGTAAAGAGAAGTGTCCTCAAGTGGCAACTTTTCCTCTTCTGAGCAGGAAGGTTGGAGCAGAGCACTGTGGTCCCTTCCAACCTCACCCATTCTGTCATTCTGTCATCACTTTTTACATGTTGTAGAAAATGGGATTTAGGTATTTAGCAGTATGAAGCTTTCACAATCTGATTTTTTGATTTTCACAATCAAACTCCTTGGATTTCTGAACTGTCAGAGATTGTTTTCTTTACAGCCTGACTGCTGCACCCAGCTCCCCACTGATGTCCTGGGGGTTCCCAGTG